CCTGAGAAATCCTACTGCATATTCATTTTAGCCTCTTTTAAAAATACAGTGGAGAGCAACCACACTGCATTCAAATATTTTGAGAGAGAACCATTCAGGCATTCTCTCAGCTTCTGCTACTAAAAAGAAGAGTTTCAGTTATGCAGAACCCATAAAGTGAAATTTGGTTTTATTATTAAATAAAATCTCATTAGTGTTCAGGACACAGAAGATCTCACAGCCCTTGGCTAAACACTCGTATTTCTTTGAATATGAAAATGCATTTCTTCTGAGGGCTATGAAACATTTAATGTGTAAGAAAAATGAGCATAGTTGAGACTTCTAAAAAGGAATGCTGCAGCAGTGCTGAAGGGCCAGCACTTCACTCAGCAACAGCAAGACCAACAGACAATGCTTGGAAACACTGACTCCAGCCCTGAAAAACAAGCATCACAAGAATCAGGTTTGGCATCCTTAATGTACAATAAGAACATTAAGATTTTCAGTACAAAATTAATCTATCTATGCCCAGGAAAACCTTAAAAGGATTGGATTTCTCGTGATAGATTACTCAGGCAAGCTAAGAAGGATCTGATCTGTGCATCTGATCTGTGATTACACAAGTCACATAGACTCACAGAATATCCTGAGTTGAAAAAGACCCATCAGGATCTTCGAGTCCAACTCCTGGCCCTGCACAGGACAACCCCAAAAAATCGCAGTGTTTGCATGAGAGTATTGTCCAAACACTTTCTGAACTCTGTCAGGGTTGGTGCTGTGGCATTCAAAACTGCACACAGGGCTTGAGGTGAGGCCGCGCCAGCACAGAGTAGAGCAGAGCAATCACCTCCCTCGACTGGCTCACAATGCTGTGCTCGATGCACCCCAGGATATGGTTATCAGCAATTAATCTACAAATTTTAGATAAAAGGAGACCTGGTCCTAAAATGAAGCTATACAAATATACCAAACCCAAAGATTTTAAAGGTCTGGACTCTACTGGTATCAGAAACAAACTCGAATTCCTTGATTCAAGAACAAAAGGCTAAAAAATGGATTCTGTAGTTTACAAGGACTTAAGACTTTGAAACACGATAGATCACAAAATTTATATTCACTGTTCAGACTAGATGATTGCAATCACTCCCCCAAGCCTCATTAAAATCACATTTAGAATGCTATTCAAAACGTGAATCAGATTCAGTTTTGTTTGTTTGAACAAAACTGGTATGTATGGCAGAATATTTAATAATGTGGAGAAGATAAGAATTAATTATAACTGGTACATTTGATTGTTTGAATAAGTAGCATTTCTCTTTCAACAATAGAAAATAATACTGCCAACACTTTCCCTAGCATTAGCATGCTTGTTGTATTCCAGACTACGGAAATTGGCACAAGGCAGGTGAAAAGAAAAACAGGAAAACACTCTTCTTGTATGTTTTGAAATATTTTTTTTATACTGGTACAGAATTTCTACCCCCTAAACATTAACTCCATTACTTTTGCTCAATACAACCTAAAGGTTATAATGCTGCCTTCTACTTTAGATCACCAAACTCTTATTTTCACTGAATTGGTCCTGAAGCACAATGAACTGACATGATAATCTTGTTTCAGACTTTAATTTACAATTAAGGGGGGGAAAAAGTTTTGTTTGTTTAAACTTAAAACCAGGGGGTGATTGTGGGCAGAGAACAGAGAATTAGCTAATGTAGCTTGGCAAGAGCACCCGCTGTGTGAAGACTTTCACACAGGACTGGGACAGAAGCAGGACAGAGACCATTATTTGAGCATTTGAGAGAGAGAAAAAAACCAGGGGACATATTAAAGGGACACAACAGAAACATATTAAGGACACAAGGAAGTTGTTAAGTTAGCCTTAAAATAGAATTTCTCTAGGGATTTTTATAGTACACACATTTTGATGTCTTAAAAAGGAAAGAAAAAAATCAATCATAACACATCTTGCTGAAGTGTTTTTTTAAACAATCACAGGAAAAACACAAGAATATTATAAAAAAATTGAAAACCTGAATATCTCAGAGGTCAATGAGCTAAGCATTTGTTTAGTTCTACCTGTCCCCCTGCTAGAAGGTGTTATTTGCAAATCCTGAGCTGAGTTTGCTAAGAGACTCAGAAAGAGAAAATTTATTTGAATTAAAAAGAGCAAGTTTGGGTTATCTGCTATCTTTTCATACTTCCCATAAAACCAAACACTTGGAAGCAGTACTTGAAATTTCCTTGGTCTGACTTCGGACCAAGATATTTTTGAAGTTATTTCAGATAGGTGTTGAAACTACTGTAGCTGCTCTTTTGATTTAATAAGTTTTGATTCAAATTACAGGATTCACCAGGTTTTTGTTGTATTTGAAACTCCATTTTGTGAATTTTCTCTACTGATGGCAATAAAACCATTTCATTTGGTTCTATAAAATGTATCATAGACAGTATTTTCAGGAAGTTAGTCTTTAGCAGATGAGCCCCTGTGCAAATGGTATACACAGAGACAGAGGATCAAAGACTCAAAGTCTATAGTAATACCATCTCCCACAAATGTGCAGAAAACAGTTATAAGCCTTGAGGTAGTTTGAAGTTCCGCCAAGCCAAAGCCCTTTATAACGTCCAGAAGCTGAACGAACTAGATCTTGCCTGCTATACCTCACCTGATTTATCTACTCTAATGCTATTGAAATAAGAGCATCCTTTCCTGGCACAGAAATTACATAATTTTCCAATTAGTTTCTCTGAAAGCAACTTTATGAGTGTCGTGTTTTAACTCCAGCCTCTAACATGGTCCCTTCACAAGGGTGACATGCAAATTTATGAAGCAAATTAACCTTATCCTAGCCAAAACGAGCACAATGAGGTATGACCTACTTCACATTTCATGCACTTCTGAAGAGGACACATTTCCAAAAGTGAAGTGCAATTTGAGAGTGGCCATATTTAACACACAGCAGCCAAGAGAGGGGTTTGTTTCTGACAGTAGGTCAGAAAGCATTGTCAGACTTTTATGTCTCTTGGAAGTTCAAGAAATACACTTGCTTCAAGGTGTAACCATCAGAAGTATAGAGCCCAGCTTTGTCTCCTTAATCAGCATACTAATTAGTAAGCAATTTTAGCACAAGACAAGAACATTTTTTTCTTTGCATTTAAATGGTAAGCAATACAGTCAGTTAACTAATGGACTACTGTGTTATGAGTGTTTAACATAAGGAAGGTTAGAAGCACATGGCAGAAGTCAGTTTACGCAGAGCACTACTAAAACAGCCACCATACAATATTTCACTGAAGACCATAGGAATCTAGCTGAATTGAAACACGGAAACAATGGCAATACCTAAGGATACAAGCTTCCCAAGTGAGACACTTAGGTGAAAGTCACAAAAGGATTTGTGCTGGGGGAAGGAGGGCAGACAAAGGCTGGTGTAGCACTGACTCTCCTAATATGTCACTTCTGACAACACACCACTCACATTGCTTCTGGGGACACGCGTGGAAATGTCATTGACTGTGCAAAAGCAGTGGGTGAGGAACAAGTTGCCAAAAGATCAATTTACAAAAACACAAAGGGATGATAAACCTGACAGCTTCCTTTTATATTTAGTAATTGTCCTGTGCAGTTTTGCTAACACAGGAGGATGCTTAATGAACATATTCATTATACTAGCAATGTAATTTACCACAGATTTGATGCTGTAAAGCTGTATGTTAGAACTTAAACTTCTTGGAAGCACTTTTTCTATAAGTAATTTCAAGTAACTTGGCAAAGCAGAAAGCAAAAAAAGTATATAAAACATACAGCTTGTTATAAAAACATTTCTTTTGACTTAATTCTATGCAAACAATACTAATATATACAAATTAGGAGCAACATTTTCTCTCAAAACAATACAATTAGACAATTAACATTTAACATTAAATTAGAAACAGCTCTAACAAAAGGTTAGTTCCTTCATGTGAATTACTTTTTTTAAACTCTTACTATGCAAACAGTTCTGCCTCGGTCCTTGAAAATTTTTTAAACTAATAACACACCAAAATTTTATAAATTAAGGAGTAGGTACCTTAAGATGAAATGTTGCGTAATGAAGAGAATTATATCTGAAAGAAAATATGTCATTTTCTTTCTTATATCTGAAAGAAATATGGTCATGGAGACAATTTGTTTTGTCTCACTCCTGTATCCTTCCCCCACATGATAGCTGCATAACATCTAATTAAAAGAGGGGAAAAATGCCAGGTAAAAAGACAACTCAAATCAGTCCTCTCTTCAGAGCTCAGAGTGACTCTAGAGGACTGGAACTTAGAGCCTAGAAAGGTAAAAGTGCCCTTTTCCCTGTTACAGATAGGAAGCTTTACTCTTCAGATATAAAGGAGGCAAAAATTAAAGAATATAAAAGGAAGTTATGCTTGCTAAGAACCGTATGACCATTTTTAGCTCAGTGATTATATTCCAGGATAATCTTTATCCTATTTCTCTGTGTTATATTAGTGCTATTAGGGAACAATACCATCATCCAGCGTCCCCAAGTTCTGCATGTGCATCATGCATGTTCTGTTCTTACATAATTTTATACTGCATAAATCAACTGCAGTATCAGCATCTGACAAGCTGTAGTGTCAAAACCTCTGGCCAAAAACTGTATGCAACTTGTTACTCCGCACCCCAGACCAAAAATCTGCAGGTATTAACCAAATGAGAACATGAAAAACTGTATGATTTTCTTTTTTTTTTTTTTGCAGAAATCACTACCCAGGAATTTAATGAAAATCATCCTGTAATGAAAAGAGGCCTTCTATAGTTTTAATATGTTACTAATAAGATAAGAAGTCAGTTTAAAATACAGAGCAAATGATATAGCAATGGTGATAAAGTTTCCATTTCCTATTTAATGAAATTATAATTTCTTGTTGACTGGGGCTTCATGTTTGACCTTCCGGGAAAACAGGTTATTTAGAGATATACAAAGATTAAAAACTTAAAAACTAAATAGTCCAGGAAACAATTTACATACTTAGGATGTCGGATGTCTGGCAGTGATCGTTCCAGTGCTATATTGTTGCTAACAAATATGTTGAAGCCATTTTCCCTATAAGCAGAATCATCGTGGTCTTCCTCTGTAAGAGGGTACGGTTTTCCATGTTCACCTTTCCCTATAACAAAACAAAACAATTATTTGCCTCGAATTCACAGCACAAAATGGACTACAAGAAGAAAAATAAGTTGCACTGAACTTCAACTAAAATACTGTGCCTGGAACATCTCAAAGAAACATCTTTAGCAACACTCCTGACACTTCCAACAAAAATACACAAAGTAGGGACAAATAATGAGACTAAGAAGTCCCTTTGAATTCACCCAATTCATCTAGTTTTCTCTTCCCAGATACACAATCAGTTTAAAGCCATTTTATACAGAAAAAATTGAATTGTAGATTCAGCTAAGACCTTTTTGCATCAGAATCAAGTTTTCATAGCAAAATAATGAACAAATTCCAGTTGCAGAAACATTCCTTTTGATTAATATGAGGAACCGGGTTACCGAGTTCCTTTACATTTTAGTAGTCAGAACAGCCCCACCACCCACTCATCTTTTCAGAAAGCAACTTTATTATTGAAGTTTAGGGTGTCTAACTTTCCAGAAGAAACAGTAAGGAAACCAAATGCTTTGCTCTAGGCTCCTTGAACATGCTTGCATTCCTAGGGACAAGCCAGATGTGCTCAGTGCTTCTTACGTCAGAGCACTGCTGATCTGGTTTCAGAAACTGGTCACTTTGTGCTTCCCCAAAGAAACCATCTGCTTGTTCCCCGGCAAACTACAGACTTTCTATTCCAGCTTTTTATTTCCAAGTTACTTCTCATCATCAGTCACTAGACTTGCTTAGTACCTACCTCAGGCAACTATACCTCTATCTGTTCTAGTCAGAGAGCAGAGAACAAACAAAAACACTTCAAAGAAAATCAGAACATAAAAACCTTCACTTCTTATCAACTATTTTTATTCTTTCATTCTTGCAGAGGATGTACCCTTCAGAGTTTCAAAGCCCTTCATGCCTACTCATGTTCTCAAGAAGATATGCTTTCCTCTATATCTAATTGATCAGTTTATATATAACCTCTCTGTCCTTTTCCCTCTGGGCCCACTTATAAGAAAGTACCTCCTTTTACCTGGGCTCTTATAGAGAAAATAATCAACTTGCCAGCTGGATTCAATAGGTGACCAGCTGGGTCCTGATCCTCAGCTAATCAGGAGCAGCTATAGGAGGGCATCAAGAGGAAAGTAACCGAGAGCTGAGAGAAACACCTAGTGGTATCCTTAAAGCCCATGAGCCTCTGTCAATACTCTATTTCATACTGCAAAAGCAAATGACAATAAAAACATAGAATATGCAACTTAAGGTGCTCAGATTTTTTTCAGCTAGAATAATATTTTTCATAACACTACAGTTTCTTCATATTGTCCCCTGCCAGTGAAACTGTAGACAAGTACTTTTAAAGCAGGGAAATTGTTGGCAAAATAGATCAGCTGTAAATAAATTTGAACATGCAACAGAAATGGAGTTCTGCACTACTTCCACATTCAATGGAAAGGAAACCTTGTTTAAAACTATAAACAACAAAACATATGGCAACACGTTCTCTTTTCAGGGTCTTTTGGGTTTCCTTTTTGAGTTTTGTTTTTATAATTCAGATGAGCGTTATTTATAATTCAATAGGCATGGTAAAAAAGATTGGCTTTGCCAGATAAGTTCAAGAAGTTAAGCAATTACTTGACATCTTAACACAGGAAACCAAGTGGATAAAGAACATAAACCACTCATTGTCTGTGGAGAAGAACTATGTACAAATTTGAATTATTTACTGCTTATACTCACTGCTATTAGTTTACTCAGGCATGACTACACAGCTATACCAAGTCAAGACTATAATTCACAAAAGTATTTAAGCATACCCTTTAATTCAGGCATTCAAACATCCTTTAATCCAATAACATCTGTAGTAGAGAACAAGAATTCTCCATGTGGTAAAAGCTTTAGTAAATACAAGTAGTTTACTTTAATACGTGAATCTACAAATAAGTTAGTCTTCTTACTTACAGTGCATTTTTTTATTTTGGATAAGTTAATTCTGCCATTTTTTAAAAATATATAATGAATTTTGTCTACTATCTCTAAACATGCCATTGAGAATATAGTACAACATTGTGCTCATCACACATAAAGTTCAAGTCCATCCTCCCTCATGAAAGTTCTCACAGTGAGGACAGTTATTTAATCTTATCCTAGAGCAATACAGAATTGAAGTCCCATGGGGGGGGAGTGACTGCATTTCTTAAATAGAGAAACACAAATTCCAAATTAATGCAGTTTCATTAAAAAGCATCAGCTTCATAAAAAGAGTGTGGGAAGTAAAACAGAAAATAAAGATCAGCAACAAAATAAGAACATTGAATCAGACATCTTACATCCTCTTGCTACATAAACTTCTACTTTTTGATCCCTGATAGGCCAACTGGCCAAGTCACAAGGGCAAAAACTCTGTTTAAAACAATTATAGCATCTTTTACATAATTTCTGAATTTCCCTAATGCACAGCTGTATACAACTCATCATCTTGTGCTGTGGAGATTAATTTCATATTACTTGGATTAATAAGTATAACAGATTAGCAATTCAAACTGCCAGGACATTCTGCTTTTTTTAGGAAGTGAATTTTCATTTGAGTACAAACAAAATAATTGTATTTCTTACTTTTCCTCATAAACAGAAAGGCAGGGTGCAGTACATCTGCTAAAAAACTGATTAAATTATCTTGAACAGAGAGGCAACTTGATATATGCACAAAAAAAAGGATTTTTGTTTCCTGACTGTATACATCTCATCTTCACCTTGTATCAACAGTATCTACACTTGGTGAAGTTCTCATCTTATTCACAAATTTTGTATTTTGAACCCTTAGGAAGACATACAGGAGAATAATTTTTTAGTTTAAGGGGCAAATCAGGGACTAGTATAGACTAGTCTTTGGGGAAAAAAGGAGAAAAAGGAAGTTGCTATATCAAATCACTTTCTCCTTTCATACTAAGAAAGGAATTGGTTGTTTTGAGCAAACGCCTTCTTTAGTTTTGCATATTTATGTTAATTTCCAATAAAAATGATGAACACTTTAATAAATTAATGAAGGATCTTTCTTTGCCAATTTTTATGGAGACAGGAAATTAAAACTGCACGTCTCACATTAATGTAATTGCCTTCATATCAAATGGAACTATTCAAATTGCAAAACATATGTGTGTACATATGTATATATATACATATAGATATATAAAATGGCTTTTCAGATTGAAAATAAGAAACATTTTTCTAACTGTGTGAGTAGTGAAACGATGGAATAGGAAATCCAAGGAACTGTGGAATGCATGCAAGCAAGAAATGATATCATGCCTCAGAGAGATGATTGCCTTTGGTCATCTACTGAGGTTGATCCTAACCTTAAATTCCTATGAACACTATGAGAAACAGGAGGACAACTGATGATAAGTTCCCTCAGAGTCCAGAAAACTTGCATCAGAAACTCAAATATATTTATCTCAAGTCTACCTTTCCCAAACTTCTCAGAGTATCTCACTAGGTCGTACAAGTTCATTAGCCTAATTTATAGGAAAGGAATTTAATTGATTTTGCATTAATGGAAATGGGATCAAAATAACTTTTTAAAAATTATTTTATTGCTACTCTACCTTGTAACAGCTTGAAAAGCCACTGCAGTAAGATTTACAACACTTTTAATTATTTATTACATAACTCTGTCAAGATCTGAGGCAATGTAAAAGGCTTTTTCTTAACATTACAGACACAGCAGTAATCAAATCAAATGTAAATAAAATTTATTTATTACAGTTTCAATATCAAACTACTACAGAATACAGCAATCAAACATTCACTTAGTTTTCTGGCTACTATTTTATCTGCCTTCAGGTGACAGTAGCATATACAGATTTTCAGTTCAAGGACCATGTAGTCTTTGGTAAGTGGTATAGAGATGTCACTGGGAGCAGATATGAGGCTTTGGCCTCCAGATTGCTGCTACAGTAACATGATGGTTGGCAGGAGAAATATGAAGTAAATTGCATCTCTCTTCAGGAATGGCTTTATACAAAGAGCATAGGTTGAGAGAAAAGGGAATAAAAAACATACAACTTTAAATTTTGTTATTTGACTGCCTGCTCACATCCAGAACTAAAAAAACCCACAAAACCTCAACAAAACAACCAAACCACGAGAACAAAAAACAAAACAAACAAACAAAAAAACAGAGAAGAAAGGAGAACGTGTTCCTTAAAAATTTTAAAAGGGTACATTCATATCGTACTGTACTTGAATCTTTGGAGCATTGTTTGCTTATGATTCACATAAGATAAAAATTAAAGGAACTTTTGGTAACATAAAATGTACTGATGTGTTCCCCCGTTCCTCAACCCATAGTGGGTAGGAAGTAGGTAAAGGAAGAGCACTTCTTGGAGAGCAAGGAGATGAGAGACACAAATGGGAACCTCTGAAACGTACTTATTTTACAGATATTTGAGAAGCATTTCTGTAAAAAGAAATTAATATCAAAGTGGAAAAAAAAATTACAGCTTTGTAACTTCCTTAGACAAAGTTTCTAGATTTCCAGAGATCTACTAAGCCAACTCTTCATGTTAATCTAGAGAGATCATAACTTCTGTGTAGGACTGCAAGGAAAAAATGGCACAAGATTTTTTTTTTTAGGAGTCCATGAAGTGGGAGAGGCTGATTACTGATACTCTGTATACATCAAGGACATGGCAGTACTTCATATGCACTTCTTAAAAGCTGAAGCAAGACAAAATGCTACAAAATGACAGTGGTGAGGCAGGACAGCTCAAAAATGAGGAGCAGTAGCAGCAGTCAGCAGAAGAATGAATCAGTGGAGCAAACAGAGCAAGCAACAGCAACATCTGGCAGTGTCAAAAGCCCCAGATCGCAGCACAAAGCTCTGGCAACTTCAACTGGGGCTTGTTGACTCCCAGGACTCCACAGTTCCCAAAAGTAAGGAAGGCTTTATTTTAGGAGTGGGGAACAATCAGCTGGCCTAGCTGTTGCCTTGGCAAAGAGAACTGCAAAATTATTGTT